CAACCACAAATATGTAATTATCCCTTTTATATCTAGCTGGGGGATTAAAATAATCTATAGTATATAGCCTTTACTTATCCCTGATGGGTTTAGTAGTACTTTTACCCTTTTCAAAATATGCGGCCCTTTGATGAATGAACTTTAGGCAAAATGTTGCTTTATCTGTTTCAAATCTTTGCTTTTTAAAGTCGGTTTGTGTGTAGGCATTACAGTCTAAAATCTTGAGCTTCTAAAACCTCCTAAAGAACACATTTTGATATAATTTAATTTACTGAGAGCATCACAGATATTTTTCTCCACTGAAGATATCAACATGGGTATTGCACATTAGCAGTACCTACATTTGCATTTCACTGTAGTTACATTTTTATTCATAGCTAACATTTTGTTAGCCATGTTATATTTTTACTCAAATAAAGTGGTCTCATCATTAATTGGAGCCAATTCTTTCCCAGATCTTCATGAAAAAAAGTAAGAATAATTCACTGACATTAAATTTCTTATTTTCTCATCACAGTTCAGTCACTAAAAGAGAGAAAAAAGTATTTTCTTTATGAAAAGAGAACATCATTATAAGTATAAAATGAATTTTGCAGAGATTGGGAATTAGTGCTGGGAGCATAGGGCTTTTTAAAAATGAGTTTGTCTTTCTTGATCTTTCTACGCATAAATCGGTCCCTTTCAACATTTTTGCTAAGAATTTTTTGGTTACACTAACATTATCTCAATTATGGTCAGTGTAAAAGTAGATTCAGAAGGGCAAAAAACATAGCTTAAATGTCTGCAAGACTGTTCTTAACATTCGTATGTCGAAAACTGTATCTTCCTATAGTTGCAGTAATATGTTAACCTACTTACTATCCTGAGATTTCCCAGATGTAAGGGTGTTTGTGATTTTTTTTTTTTTTGCCTTTTTGTATTTTGTGATTCGAGGACATAGTTAAAGATTAATATGTAGTACTGTTTTAGAGATACAACCATGAAGCAAAAATTTAGTGGGACACACATATAACCTTAAAATTTTTACTGATATTTTAAAACTAGATACTTCATGTTGTCTTTAGAATGTTTTCCAGCAGAGAATTTAGACAAAGAACTGACTAAAAAGAACTGCTTCATACCAAGAAGAGACATAAAACAAAATACCCAGCATTACCATGCATATATAGATATCAATATCAATTATACTATCTTTAATCTGTTTTCAAAAACATTGCTAAAATGGCTATTAACTATAAATTTTATGTATTGTATTATACTACCAAATCACAAGATTTTAAAACAAACATGGATTTTTAAAATAAATAAAATTAATAAATGTAAAGGCTAGTTATGTACAGTGTTTGTCTCTAACATCCATATAAAAAATTCTTCACAGTAGAGGCAATATCTGGAGATGAAGGATAAAAGGCAAATAAAAAAATGTATAATTAGGGAATTTTGGATACTAAGGAAAGCTGCCATTTAAAAAATTAATTAATACACAAAATGTTTTAATACTGATTTCTAAAAAAAAAAAATGCCCTAGAGATTTTTCCACATGATTCTCCCTATATGTGGGATTAGTTTCTCTGGCCCTCTGTTGTTTGCTTTCCTATAGTTTAAAACATTGATCTAATTGTCTGTAGGAATCCAGAGAAGCAGGGGTCATGCCCATTTTAAAACTGGTTGGGAGGAGAAATATTCCCTGTCCTGTAATGTACAGGATTCTTTCAACACTTATTTCCACATGCTTCCCATGGTGTATGTGCAGCCTTATGTGGTGGTAAAATACAAGTAAGAAATATGACTGTCTCAAAAACAGATTATCATCAAGAATTGCAAGACAGATAAAAAGTGGAATTTCTGTCAGGAGGGAAGAATGAGAGGAGCTCTGCACTGTGGATTCCCACTCTCAAGTCTGCCCGTGGCTGTGAGTGGTGCTTGTTTCTGAGATACTAAAACGCCATTACCTTGACCGTCGACATGAAGCGATCAGAGTCATATTTATTGATGAAACTCTGAGCTCCCACTCTGCCGCACTGAGTGTGCATCATACAGCTGTCAGCAGAGCTGGGGCACCTCAGCAATGAGCGCTTGTGACATTTCCCTTTCATAATTTATGAAAACAAAAGATCTTGAAGTTCATGAGGACACTACAGTAATTTTAAAATAGTCTCCGTGAAGGCTATATTGTGGTCTGTAAAATAAGCACTTTTCTGGCTTATGGTTTTTAGGGGAATCAATTGCAAACCAAATTAGAACCATAAACATGGTCATTATTTAAAAGATTCTAATCCTGATGTGAGGGTTACAAGAACGAGCAGCTATTTGGGGAGGTGGTTAATTACCATCACACCAGAGCGTAATTCTCCCCATGGTGTGGGACAGCTTTACCCACACATGATTTCACAGGCACTTTATAAGTTTAAGACCCTGAAAAGTCACCTAATTATTTACTTTTTTCAAGGTAATATTTTGCACCTGTGATATTGTTTGGTCACTAAAAGATGCAAACTAAAAACATTAAGCTATGTACAAAAGGATTTGCATTTCCTGTGTGACTACTGTATTAGATTTGATTGAACTAGAAAGTCAACAATGATCTTGAACTATAATTTGTGGGAATGCTCTCCCCAGTTAAAAAAAAAAATTATCCCTGGATGAAGGATAACAAAATTGTATCATACTGTGGGATTTTTCACCTATGTATACATATTTTTAAAAGTCAAAAATCTGGATATGTGACATACATGAATTTATGCATTTTAGAATTGGGTGACCTCTGAACTCAAGTTGTTCAGGTATAAATGTAACCAAGAAAAGATTTTACAGGAACTGTAATGAGCTGCTTTTTTTTCTGGTGGTTAGTTGGAGGAGAAAGGGAATGGAGTTTAGAGAGAAAGATCACTGGCCACGCCCCCCGATTAGACATTAATGACAAAGTATGCTTTTTACATCCTTATTGCATTCTGCCTGGGACACCTATGGACCTAACCATGACATACAATGTGGGCCAGAACAATATGACAACAAGAACACATAGAATAGTAAGTAATATGCCATCCACACACATATATATGTACCATTTTATCATTAAAATTCATTTTATCTTAGTATCTGTTTGCATTATCTATTTCAAATAGGAAAAAATTTATTTCCATTTTACCCACAAGAAAGCTATGAACACAATGAATGTAGTGAACGTTTCTAAAACTAACTGTCCAAATATAGAATTTACAAAAATGATCTTAAAGTAATGAAGGGCACATGTGTTTATTTACTTAATGCTAGGATATCTTAAGGCCCAGGAAAAGTCCCATGCTCTATCTGAGGGGAGAGGCTGGAAATAAAGGCTGCTTTGTGTTGTGTACACACAAACTGGTACTCAGGGTTCAGACTGATGGCAGCAGTTTTTCCTGACCTCTGACAAGGGGTCTGGAGAATACTAGGTGACCCACTCCAGACTGCAAGGTCAGAAAGACTTCTCCCATAGGCTGGCATCCTAGACAGGAAGAGAGTCCATTGGCCCAGTTGTTGTCAACCCAAAGCCACATGTGCCTACTCTATGCTGATCCCTGCCAGGATGAAGCCACAACAATGGAGAAGTACCTTATCCACCAAGTGTGAACAACTCTAGTCCTCACACCTGGCATAAAACTCTCAGGGGTCACCACTCCCTATGTGACTCCTCCCGATGTCAACTGCTGAGATCCATGTTTACGGGGCTTACCTGTTGCAGATAAAAAAACAAAACAAAACTGGGAGACACTTTGTAAATAGATAGGGTGGAGTGGGTGAAGAAAGAGCAGGGTAATGGGGAAAAAATAAGAACCAAGATATGTTATGTAAAGGCACAAGATCCCAAAGATTAATGTAACTGTATTGTAAACCTAAATTGTACCAATAAACTTAATGAAAACAAAACAAAACAAAACTGGGAGACAGAATGATTTAAAGCAGGAAACTTTTAACCTGGAGGATCGCTAGAGTTGCCCTTTTTCTTATCCACACTTACGGCTTATATTAGCTCCTGGACATGTGAAATGAGCCTCACAGAGATGATGTGAGGATTTGTTGAGAAAATGTACAGACCACAGGGGTGGGCACACAGAAAGCCCTCAATATGTGACAGCTTCTGATGTTATCATTCCATGCATGAGCTATAAGTGCCCAAGTGCACGTGTGTGTGTGTGTGTGTGTGTGTGTGTCCTTCAGTATATTTGCATATGTATGTGTAGGGACCTGTCTCCCTCTCTCCTAGTTCCAAAGTCTCCATGCCTATTAATCACAAAAGGATAAAAAGAAGAGAACTTGTTTAAAAACTGCAGGAAGGCAGAAGGTAAGAAAGAGAAAGAAAACAGTCTTAGTACCTGACCTCCTCCAAGTCCTGGGCATTCATTCTTTCCCCCTCCCCCTGCATACCCTCCAGATAGGGCATCCTCCATCCAATTTATGCTGTCAGTCCCTGTCCCACGTCCCCTCCCCCGTTTTTGTATCTCACAGCTATGAAGCCCGAGGAGCAGTGTTGCACCCGGCTTGAGATGAAGCCTGTCAGATAGCATCAGAGCTGAAAATTACAGCTGATTAAAGAAATAAAAAAAACCCTCTAGGATCATTTGGTGTTCCCAGAATTGACAAGCTAAGGTGCTACCCCTTTAAATGTCTAGTAGGACTCTCAGCTCCAAGGAGCTTTTTCTAGAACCATGTTTATAACCCCGAGAAACAGAAAGAAATGGACTCACAACCTTTTATGAAGCTTTAAAAGCTTTGTTTTCACTCTCCAGTGTTTTTTAAACTTAACAAAAGGATTGAGAAACTTTGGTTTGATAATAAACAGCACATTTTCCTAACAGAAGTAAAGCTTGCAAAGCCAACGAAATGGGTCACTGTGAGTCCTGGAGGTAGGAGTCGGTTTTCCACGGGGGTTCAGAAAGCTGCAAAGCCCCGTTTCCCTTTCTAACGGAGCATGGGAAATGAGCTCCGTCACAGTGGAAATAAAATGGGAGGCTGGTACTTACCGATAGTCACACTAATATAATGCTCTCTAAAAAGCCTGCGAGAACCATATTCTCAGCCATTAAATTCAGGATGCGCTGGGAGCTCGCAGCAATGCCGGGCCTGAAGGAGACCAGTGTTGCGCAGCCTCAAATCTTCCCACTCCTTACTGTGTTGTCTGTGTGCTGCTTTTTATGAGAGCATACATTTTTATTTTTTTATGGATGTTAAAACATTTATAACTGTACAAGGTCAACGCAGAAAGCTTTGCATCCAAACTGAAATGGTCCAAGTAGCCACAAGGGATGGATTAAACCGAGGAGTGGAAGTGAATGCGGCGGGTGTGTGATTGCCATTTCAGGGTGCTTACGCCACAATGGCAGGCCAGAAGAGATGAGCCCACGAATGGGAAGACTCGACTCCCGGACTTGTCTTTGAGACTAGAGTGGTGAAAAGTTCTCAGGGCCTGGTCTGATGACCCTTGAGGACCTGCTGTTGACCTCTTTCTAGCCCATTTCTGCCCTTATGTCCTCCCCCCTTCATTCCTCACAGGTTACCTACTGGCAGCCTTGTCCTCTGTGTCCCACCTCAGACCCTCACTAGCTACTTCTCTTGGAGACACACGAGACACATGGAATTTTACTCAAAGACAACAACTCTGAATCGCCTGTCACCTGGTACGTATTTGGTAATTAGTAGGTTTATCATTAAAAGATGAGGACACTTATTGCATTGCTTTCTTCAAACATCAGAGTCAATCAAGTTATAAGTCAGCTGCAAAAGATTATGTCTAGTTAGCCTTCCACTCTAGACTGCAGGATTAGGAGCTCAGTTGTTGCAAGTTAAGTCTCTCAGAAACAAACAAACAAACACACAAAAGAATAAACCCATTGAGTAAACTAGCAGTTGGTTTGGAACCACGAGAAGACAGTAAGCTAAATAGGAGAAAGGAGACCAGCCCTGTTTGTTATGCCAGATTTCTGTAGCCTATGTACATGAAGAAGGCTCTTGAGCTAAGAGGGAGGCTGTAGTTTTGGATTCCACCAGCTACTGGATGTGTAACCATGGACAATTCACTTTGCCTCTCTGGTCTTTAGGCTTCTCTACATAACAGGGGGAGAAGCTGACCCATCCTGTTGCCCAACTATAATAAACAGTGATAGACAAATGCTAGATTTTTACCTAATTCATCCACCAGTAGAATAAGTAAACTCCTACGAAGAACACTGGTTCAACAAGCAAAAGACCAGCATTTTGCTATCCACTTCTTCACTAAGTTAATCTGTCTTTATTTCTTTATCTTTAAAATGGGAGTGGGTAAAGGGAGGGCAGGGACAAGGGGAAAAAATGAGAACCAAGACCTGTCATGTAAAGGTACAAGGTCCCAATGATGAATGTAATTGTACTGTATACCTAAAATGTACCTATAAACTCAATGAGAAACAAAATAAAATAAAATAAAATGGAACAACTTGCCAGCCCAATTGCTTTGTAGAACACAAAATAAAGTGCTGATTGCTAAAATGCTTTGAAAAAAATAAATAAAATGCCAAGTAAATATATAATATTATTATTTCTGTGATGCATTAAAAGTCTTCTGAAAGATGTTCTCCTGATGTCTAAACTGGTATCTTTTTTCCTTCTTAAAAAATGGTATTTCCATAGAAGATATACATGAATATTCATACTTTCCTGTGATATGTATGCAATTATCTCAAAACACTTATTCATTCATATATTCCTTTTTTCAAAATGGCATATCCTCTGGTCATCTTCCTTCTATGATTAGCTACTGACTTCAAGGCCATGTCTAGACCAGGCCAGTCATTCATTGAAAAGGTAAGAGGCTCTGATTTTTATCTGTGACTTGAAACAATGAGCCTGACAGACTATTGTACCTAATGTAGTCAATTCAGTAAATGCCTGGGTCCCAAGACTGGTGTTGTCATTGAAAATCAAAGTGTGGCATCTTGGATCACAGGAATGTGCATGCCCTCAGGAGGATTCTATTCAAAAAGTTAAAGGTCTCTTTCATGTGCATAAGAGTGGATGCCCCCCTCTTTTTTTTTTAACCACAAAACACTTTCAGGAGAATAAATTTGATTCAGCACCCATGATAATTATTGGCGCTATTCCTAAATCCTCTAACCTTTACCTATGGTAATGGTAGATACATAAGGGCTGAAGGTTAATAATTTAAGCCCAGCTTTTTTCCTTTTTTGACTTTAGTTTTGATATCACATCATGATTCAAAGCTCGGTGTGCCATAAATTTTCTCCAAATGTGTAGTAATTCCTAGGTGCAGTCCAAGTTATGATTCATTTATACTGGAGTGACAGCATAATACCTAGGTGTCAGAATCCATTAAAACTGTTCAATGTCTTCTGTTTATTTTTAGAACCAATTGAGACTTAACTGATGGTGAAAAATATACAGTCAAGTGTGTTTACTTCACCTTTACAAAGAATCCGTTATAGTCCCAATTAATTTGTTATTCCTGTCACAACAGGTACTGGAAACTTCAAAACTGTCATTACTGTTTCTACCTTTCTTTCCAGGCCTTGTGTTTATTTTTAACCCATTCAGAGATATTGGTCTATTGTAAGCTCTCTCTCTTTCTCTCTCTCTCTCTCTCTCTCCTGTCTGAGAGACAGAGGGAAGGACAGAATGAGAATGAGGAGTCTGAGAGAATAAAATTGGGGGCTGCATATTTTCATTTGGTTAAAACAATGCAGTATGTTCATCAAAAAACAAATCTGACAGATTTTGCACTCGAAATCTGTTGTCTTGCTTCTGAGTAATATACTCTCCTTTATACTAACATAAAATATTTCTTTCAGAGTACAAGGAGTCTCAATCAGGGTAGGATAGACCAGATAGACAATAGTGAAATTTAAGATATTCTAAATATAATAGCCATCACCAGTGAGGTATTTTTTTCTACATAACAAATAATGTCTTTTCTTATTATTTCTTAGCATTTCGTATATATATATATAT